AGTCGAAGCAGGGAAATGGGCACTGGGGAGAGGGTAGGAAGGGGTTTTACTGAGGTCTTTAACAGGTCTTTTTCTAATTATAGCCAAGAAGAGCCTGGGGACTATGGCCTGCTTCAGAGCCAAGGCCTATATTTTCTTTGGGAAAAAAAAGGCAGAGTTGATTGGCTTCCAATCCAGGCTTGGCAGAAGCCCATGCAGGATTTCAAGCCAGTAAGCAATGCCTTGGATAGGTCTTGATTGGTGTCGGTGCCCATTCCATCAGCAGACACTGAGGTTCTGCAGTAACACTGAGCCATAGGCTGGTCTTGTAGGATGTGTGGATTATATAGACAGGGTCCCCATCGCGGAGGAGGGGACCTGCCGCTAATAGCAGCAGTAGGACCATTGCTGAGGTTGACCCTTCTTCAGTTAACTGTGAGCATGCCATAAGTGCAAGTGAATTCCCTGTTGTGCCTGGCCTAGCTGATACCACCTCCCTGTTTCCACTCCCCACCCTAGACAAATAGTCCCATACGGAAAATCCTACCCCAAGAGACATGGTAGAAAGAGAAGGGTCTACTGACTGAAAGAGGACCAGAGATCACACGTCGCCTCTCCTCAGGACCAGCATATTCACAAACTTCACTTCCTGCTTCCCACACTTGCTTCCTTAATCTCCCATCCCTGTGGATCCAATCCATGCTTGCTCCTTCTCTCCCACAACCAGCATGGCTGGCCTGAGCCCCAAGCATGTGTGAGCAATGACAATTGGGAGCGACCATGCTGGTATAGACTGCTGGCAGCCAGATGTAGAAAGAGGAGTTTTCCAGATGTTTGGTCTTCAGTGTGTACATACAGCAGGGGCAGGCATGCAGCCAGCCTGTTACCAAGAACAACTCAAGTCCATGTTCAACTGCTGTTTCTAGAACACTCAGTGTGTCCTTGTGTCCCTTCAGGTACCTGATTATGAAAAACCTAGTTGAGTTTGGGAACCAAGTGTCCTCTAATCCCTGCAGTTAACTAGCAGTCCATTATACCTCAGTTTCCTATCTACAATAATGAAGTATCTAGGGTCCTTTGCACCCTGGAATGTGCTGTTTTGGAAAGCTCTCGTTCCAATGTTCTTGGGATTGCTTTCTCCAAAAACAACGAAAGGAAAGAAGGAAGGAAGTGGGGGAGAGAGTAAGGGACAGGGAAAGGATAAAAATAGATTTTCAAAATGGGGTCCAGAGGATGCCTGCTGGGTTTTGAGAAAGCCTTGTAGACAGTTTAAAAACACTTACCAACCTGCACATGGCATAAACTCTCATGACTCACTCCAAAGTAGATAAATGGGAAGCAACAGTTTGAGGGAATGGGTGAAATCCGTGTTGATTTCCATAGGTCTATGAAGGATACAAGATCTACTAAAGCAGCCTTTTGGAGGACAGGCTGACAGAGTGAAGGAAGCGTGGTCCCTGTTGTTGAAGGTAATGGGAGAGCATCAGAGAAAGGCCAGCGTATGAAGCCAGCAGTGACGAATGAGGACAATTTCCACAGAATGACCATGAAAACCTGACAAGGACAGAAGACTTACCCATGAGTCACAAAGCTTGCTCAAGCAGCAGAGAAAAAGTGAATCAGGTTGGAGTGTGGGGCATGAGAGCTCAGGACAACTGTGATGGGACTTCTGAGCTAGAGGGCAAAGACGCCCCACCTCCTCTCCCTGTTAGGCCCTCTGTGTAAACTAGCTACAGGTGATGCCTGGAAGTTCTCTCAGAAGTCCATGTGTCCTGGCTCAGCAGGTACTGAAAGCGTGTGAGAGATCATTACATCCCTGGAGGCGTGCCCTGGGGCATTGCTCTCTCCTCCTGCATCCTCCTGTTTTTTTAAGCTTCAGGTCATGATTGATTTTTTTTCACTCAAGCACACTCTCTCCCTGCCCCCAACAGGTCTTTTCTAGCAGCAACTTTTACTTCAAAATTCAAGCTACCATCCCAAAGGCTTCCTTCTTATCCCAAATCCATCACACTACCCAATATCCACCTTGCCAAATCATCCTCAAAATTCCTTGCCAACCTCTGTTTGGCCTTTTACTTTATCTGGGACCCCGCACATACAAACACCATCCCTGATTTGTTGACATGTGTTCAGGCTTTGGGACAATTTGATAAATTGTGTTTTGGGTTTTCCTTTGTTTTGTTTTTTCCTCAATATAGGTTTTTATTTAAATTAGAAACATGCATGCTTCACATGTCATTCCCAGCTCCCTCTCCCACCCCTCCTCCCTTGTCCCTTCACCAGCCCCCTCCAGCCCCGCACCCAATCCCCACATCATTCTGGGGGGGGTGAGGCCCTCCTTGGGAAGATCTCCAGAGTCTGTCATTTCATCCAGGGCAGGAACTAGGTCCTTCCCCATGTGTCCAGGCTGAAAGAGCATCCCTCCATGTGGAATGAGCTCCCAAAGTTCATTTGTATGCCATGGTAAACACTGATCTACTACCCAAGGCCCCACAATTTCTGAGGTCTCCTCACTGACACTACATTCATGGAGTCTGTATCAGTCCCCTGTTGGCCTCTCAGCCATCAGTCTGGGGTTCAAGAGCTCCCCCTTGTCTAGTCAGCTGATTTTGTGGGTTTCACCAGCATGGTCTTTACCCCTTTGCTCATCACTCCTCCATCTCTGTCACTGGGTTCCCAGAGTTCAGTTCAGTGTTTAGCTGTGGGTATCTGTCTCTGCTTCCATCAGTCACTGGATGAAGGTTCTTGGATGGCATATAAGGTAGTACTACTCAGCAGTTAAAACAATGGACTCTTGAAATTTGCAGGCAAATGGATGGCACTAGAAGAAACCATCCTGAGTGAGGTAACCCAGTCACAAAAAGACAAACATGGTACATACTCACTCATATATGGATTTAGACATGGATCAGGGGAGTGCCAGCCTACAATCCCAGTGCCAGTGAGTCTGGAAAACAAGAAGGTTCCCAAGAGAGATGCATGATACCCCAGAGAAGTGGAATGAGGCAAGATCTCCTGAGCAGATTGGGAACACAGTGGGGGGGGAGAGGGAGCCAGAAAAAGAGAAGGGGATAAGAGGAGGGGAGAAGAAGGTATGGGGGAGCAGGAAGGTTGAGTCAAGGTAATAATAGAGGAGAGCAGGATGAGAGATACCACAATAGATGGAGTCATTATAAGTTTGAGGAAAGAGCTGACACTAGTGAGATTTCCAGAGATCTCCAAGGATAACACCAACTGGCAAACTAAGCAATAGTAGAGAGACTACATTAATAGCCCCTCCCTGATGATAAGGTTGTTTTGTTTTTTTATAGATGTATGCTTTCAGATGATTTTACTGCAGTTATACTGGGGTGAAGGTGGAGGCTCAAACCGTATGCCTGCTGTTTATTTTATGTTCTTGAAGTTTCTTTTTGTTAGATTTACAAGATTGACGGAAATGTCCCTTCTCTGCAGAGTGGGAGGGAGATTAATAACCCTGTGGGAACCATTTTCCTGGGATAACACAATTCCTGGAGTAGTCTCTAGGGCAGGCAACCATGTTAGAATCCTTCCCTTAGCTTTGACCTTGAAGGAGTCAGTTATCCTAAGAGTGGTTTCCGGGGAAGGAAGACGGTCCCCTTTTCACAGAAGCAGGCCAGGAGTCCGTGGGTAGATGTCCAGTTAATGCCTGGACCTTTGTCAGCCTTTGGGGATGAGAGGAGATGGCGGAAGGGCTGTATAGTGAATTCTGGGGACAGGCTGCTCAATGGAGACAATTCCGAGTTGGGACTTCTGTTTTACAGCTCGTGTCACCTTTGTTTGTTCCCTTTGTTTTCCCCCTGGATTCTCTAAGATCTTTCTGAAAATACCAACACTGAACCAAGGGAAAGGATTTTATTTTCCATGTGAAGACAGAACTCTAAAGAGAAAATGCCCGTGGGGCCACTGGGGTGGCAGCAGCAGTGGTGATTAAAAGTGAATGCTCTGGGGGTAGGATGAGGGAAACGCAAGGTCAGGGTCACCAGCTCAGCTGTCTTTCCACCTGAGAGTCACCCTCCTGGGCTAACCTTCTGGAAACATGGGCTTGGCCCTAGGGCGGGAGAGGTGCGTGTGGAAGATCTCTGGATCACTCTGCAATTCCACAAGGACTTGCCTGGAGCCCTGTGCTGAGGTTCTGTTATGGCAACAGAAGAGTGCGGTGGGTTAAGGAACCATTTAAAAAGGGAAATCTTGGAGTCAGATGGAGGACTACAAAACGAAATAGAATAATGGAAACTAAAATTCCCTAGGAGGAATAAAAGGAGCCAATATCCACCTTAGCTACTCAGAGCAGATAGAGCCATTCCTTTGAGCTGGGTTTTGCTGGGTCTCTGTCTTCTGCAAGGGGTGCTTCATAGAGCTGTGGCTTCTAGGATTGGTAGATTTGAGGGGTGTCCTGGTGACACAGGTCTTTCTGAGAGTCTAACAGAGCACCCTTGACTCTTAGGCCCTCTAGGCAGGTGGCCAGTGGTCTTGTGTTTGTTTCCAAGGGTAGGAGGGGCCAGGAGTGAGCCTCTCTCTGATGCTGCATTATAAAAGCAACAGACCCAATTCCCAGGCTCAGTGTGTCCCTCTGGAAGGCCCCACTATGGCTAGAATTGGATGATAGCATTACATGTCTTGAGAAAGTTACAAGACTCTGATCTGATCAAACAGTGCATTGGTTCGGTCCCATGGTTGGCTCAATAGAGAGGGCCATGTATCTTCCCAAGCTCGAGGGACTTACCAGGATGTCATCGGTGTGCAGGAGGCTGGGGAGCAATGCAGACATCTAATGTAAAACAACTAGGAAGCAATCTGTCAGAAGACCTGTGGTGCATTCCTCTATTTCTCAGGGACTGGGGGAGGAAACTGCCCCTTCTAAGTAACAGGGAGGGGTCCAACTTCTTCCTTAAATGGTGGTGCCCCCTCATTACTCTCAGATCGCCAGCCTCAGGCAGCTGATACCAGAATGATCAGGACTCTCCCAGCCAGCTGTTAACACCTGTGTTTCCTTTTTTCAGATCTTACAGGTGAACAAGGTGATGTCCATCTTGTTTTATGTGATATTTCTTGCTTATCTCCGTGGCATCCAAGGTAACAACATGGATCAAAGGAGTTTGCCAGAAGACTCGCTCAATTCCCTCATTATAAAGCTGATCCAGGCAGATATCTTGAAAAACAAGCTCTCCAAGCAAATGGTGGATGTTAAGGAAAATTACCAGAGCCCCCTGCCCAAAGCAGAAGCCCCCAGAGAACCCGAGCAGGGGGAGTCCACCAGGTCGGAATTCCAGCCCATGACTGCAAGGGACACAGAACTACTGCGGCAACAGAGACGCTACAATTCGCCCCGGGTCCTGCTGAGTGACAGCACCCCTTTGGAGCCGCCTCCGTTATATCTTATGGAGGATTATGTGGGCAACCCGGTGGTAGCCAACAGAACATCTTCGCGGCGGAAACGGTATGCAGAGCATAAAAGTCATCGAGGGGAGTACTCAGTGTGTGACAGTGAGAGTCTGTGGGTGACCGACAAGTCCTCAGCCATTGACATTCGGGGACACCAGGTCACAGTGCTAGGGGAGATCAAAACCGGTAACTCCCCTGTCAAACAATATTTTTATGAGACAAGATGTAAAGAAGCCAGGCCAGTTAAAAATGGTTGCAGGGGAATTGATGATAAACACTGGAACTCTCAGTGCAAAACATCCCAAACCTATGTCCGAGCACTGACCTCAGAAAACAACAAACTCGTAGGCTGGCGCTGGATACGAATAGACACTTCCTGTGTGTGTGCCTTGTCGAGAAAAATCGGAAGAACATGAATTGGCTTCTGTCCCCACATATAAATTATTACTTTAAATTATATGATATGCATGTAGCATATAAATGTTTATATTGTTTTTATATATTATAAGTTGACCTTTATTTATTAAACTTCAGCAACCCTTACAGTATATAAGCTTTTTTCTCAATAAAATTCGTGTGCTTGCCTTCCTTCAGGTCTCTCCCATCTGTTAACCTTGTTTTGTGACGGGCTCTTGGGAACTCTTCTGTAAAACCCGTGTACACCAGTATTTTGCATTCAGTATTGTCAAGGCCATGACTGTGGTTTTAGTAAACTTCTTAAAATCAGACGATGTCAGAGTTGTGTATAAACAGAGTTCTATCCTCCTGGTATATCTCACATTGGATTAATGAATTAAAAGAACCACTATGGCCTCCTTTGAAAATGGTACCTTGTAGCCTGTGGCTCGGCATTCTCCTCTGGGCAGCAAGCTCACAATCAGGTGCTCACTTGCTCTTCCCAGCTCTGGGGCCCGCCAATTAGAACTGTGGCTTTCGCCAATAATAACGAACCTGACAATTTTACTTTTCAGCACATTTGTTGTTTTGGGATTGTGTAAGGGTTGGATTTTTTTTCTGTTTGGCTTTGGTTTTGTTTTTGCTTTTGGTAAGTGGTTTTCATCCTTTTAGACAGAGAGGAAAAATTTTTCTAGCTATTCCTAACAGATTTTATGTGTATGTGTGTGTGGGGGGGCTGGGGTTCAAACTGTAACAGAAAAATTATATATCCACCCAGGAGCAAACTGAAATGGCTCATGAATAACCCATAAACAGAAGATAAATGTACTCATTACAGATTCTCTTGGCCCAGGGCCTTCCCTACTGATCCTGTGGCCTGCCTCCAGATCATGAGCAGTTGTAAACTGGTAGCCTTGAGAGGAAGGCCTGGTTCAAACTCCAGCCCCTCCCCGATGACCTTGTGAAGGGTTTGAAGACTACCAGAGCCTGGGTCTCCTGGGGGATGCAGTCATGTGGAGCTTCCCAGGACAGCTGATGCTTCAGTGGAGTGCCCATTATAAACTTAGTAGCCAGAGGCAGGGCTCTGAGAGTGCCATTGCCTGTCCATTGCTTGCTTCTTTCCAGGATATTGTGATCAACTTTGTATCATTTTTAATCCATGCAACCATGAGAAGCAAATGGTCCAAATGAAAAGCACTTTCCTGAGTCCTGGCAAGGGATCACTGTGGTGATGGCCTCTGGTCCATTGGGAGTAGGGACATTAGTCATGTCCTGCCCCAAAGAGTTTCTTGATGTCCTGTTCCCACTTGGACATAGCTCATCCTGTTGGAGCTGCAGCATAGGTACTCTGGTCTCTTTTCTTGCTGGAGGTACAGGGTCTACCACTCCAGCATGGAAGCTTCTGTGACAGCCCTAACCATGCTGTATGCCTACTCTGACCTGGATTACTCTGCCTTGGTTTAAGGCCTATGTGTGTCCTCTCTCTCCAATGCCTCTAACATGTACAGAGAGAACACAGGACCTCTGTATGACATGAGCATTTGAAGCAGAAGCAGCAAATAGCAACAACATGGTTAAAAACATTGTTTTATATGCAAGCCTGGGTCCTAAACTGTGAGGGCAGAAAGTAAGACACCTACTATGTCCTTTCGATGTACTGAACACTTTTAAAGATGGTTGATATTATTTGTCAAAAAAGAAAAGACAAGAAGTAAGGAAGTAAGGAAGGAAGAGGCATTGTCATCTCAGGGTGACAAAACTGAGGTAGGTTGAACTTGGCTATAGTCATTTTGCAGGGAATTGGCAGAGAGAAGAGTTAGGCTCATGTATCAGTGATGACACCGGATGCCCATTATCTCCCTTGCCTCCTGTCTCTCTTCTAACCAGACAGCATTGCATTTTCCATGACCACTGCAGTGCTAGGGCATGAGAGGCATAGTTCTCTCATGGAGACCTGCTGTGACCTGTGTTTAGGACAGAGAGACCAGCAGGTAGTCAAACAGGGCCTAGTGAACAGCGGTGCTCAGTTCTCAGGGTCTCTTCCTCAATGTGGGGACCCCAAGAGTGTTTCTAAGGAAGATGCAGCACCCCAGATGCTGGAGGCCACCACACTGGAGACACCTAAAATGCTGAGGTTGGGATGTAGCTGATAGTGGCGATGATGAGAGAGTGGGCACAGTCACTCTCATTCTGGAATTCTGGTGACAGGTCCACATTCACAGAGTACTTATTAAGGCTTATCCATCACCTGACAGATGGGAGGTGGACCTTAGGATAGCACCTACTAATTTCCCTTTTCACAGGTCTCTCAGCAAGCCTCCTCTCCATGGACACACTGTGGGAAGTATTGCTTACCCGCCATGCTCCACCCCATGAAACTACTCTGCTAACAGTTGTGTCAACTGCTTTTCTGAAGCATAAAAATGTTCTTCCTCCACCTCTAATGTTCTTTCTAGGGTGCTGTTGTTAACCCCCTGGATTTGGAATCTGTTACATCACTCTGCCTGCTGTTCCCTTTCTCTGTGTGGGTGAGTGTGTCAATGTGCTCTTCATCGTTCATTTGGTTAGTGCAATGCTCTTCACTGAAGCTGGGGGACCATTAGTATCCATGTTTACCATCTCTGACATCTCTGAACACGTGATCAAGAATGAAGCCTACATAGTAGCAGTTCATGGGTGTCTGGAGATTCCCATGACTTCACCAGGAAGACTCATCTCCAGGCCTCAAGCTCTGACGGCATTGGGTATGCAAAGCCAATGCTGAGGGTTTCCACTTAGGTCATGCTTTGCTTCACAAGTTCCAGCTTTATCCAGCGACACCACGGGCTCTGCATCATCCAGAGCACCCTGAAATGCAGGAAGAGCCTGTGACCCTGGCTCCTAGGCCAAGATCTGCACTCTCTGAAGTCTTGTATGTCTGAAAGCTCCTGCATCGAGAAGCTCTTTCTCAACATCCCTATTCTCACTTCTTCTCAAGTTACACTCTCATAACTTTCTCAAGTTACAGTGGGCTGGTGGTCTACTTGATGGACACGTGTTCCACAACACCTTAGGATGAAAATACTGACTCAAGCTCCTAGGTTTTGGTTTGGCTCTGGATGGACGTTGGTCCAGTCTTGAAGAATAGAACTCTGACATAGGCCAGAGCACTCTTAAGGACTAAGGGTGTGTTTGCTTCAATGCTCAGCCATGTGGAATCAAGGGGTGCAGAGGGGGCTGATGTCCCTCTACGGATATTCCTGTGCAGGGACCCCCAAATAGGGAAGGGCAAAGAGGCAGGAAAGAAGTGTTACAAGGGTACCAAATGCCCTTTATTTCTTTTTTTAAAATATGTTATGTGTATGGGTATTTTGCCTGATGTGTGTCTAAGCACTACATACATGCCTGGTTCCAGGTCTGGAGAAGGCATTAGATCCTTGGGAACTGGAGTTACAGAAAGTTGTGGGTCACCAAGTAAATGCTAAGAATCCAAGACCTCTGGAAGAGCAGCCAATACTCTTATCTGCTGAGTCGTCTCTCCAGCCCCAACAAATGCCCTTTGTTGAAGGAAGTGATTCGCACTGTTGAGTCTGGCTGGGCTGAACTGTTGTGCAGGTCACTGACATTTCGGGTTAAATTTCAGAATGCTCTGGAGCAAAAACACATTAAAGTTTATTGGGAAGTTGTGAAACACAGCCTAATGACTTAGATAGCTATTCACGTGGAGATGGATGAGTAAGAAGATATGCATGTCTCACAGGTGCCTGCAGGCCTCTCTCTCTGTGTATGTGTGTAACTATTTTGATATCCTAACCATTGATGTATTGCATTTTTAAAAAGAAATTAATGCTTGAGGAAACCTGCCAGACATCTGGGGAGCATAAGAAAGAGACAAGAAAAGGTAGATTAAGAACTTTACAAACAGGAAAAATAGTGGGCTGGGACTAGGGGTTCTCCTAGGAGCCATGACAGAAGGATCTGGAACTGTGGACCTTCTAATCTAGAAAGTGACAGAAGCTGGCACTGGGGACTGCAGATAGAAACTAAGGAGGAACCGAAGTCAAGGGGGAAATACTAAGAATGAGGTCCTTTCTCCATGCTAGGTACCTAGCGTGAGTCTTGATAGATTCTCAAGACACCCCGGTATTCCAACCTCAGTTGTACAGCTGAGGGCATTTGTTGACAAAAGCAGCTTTCCCATGGAAACACAGCTAATCAGAGGGAAAGGCCAGACAGGAACCCAAGGAGTCTCCTAGGCTTCTAAGGCAGCAGCAAAGCCAGTGCCAATTGCCTGAGAGGCCCTGGCCTCTGAATTTCAGTGGGGTCATGTTAGGGGGTGTGTGCACGTGGCACAACCAGGGAGGTGACAGGGTCCTCACTGCTGGACTCCAAAGGTTGCTCTAGCAGTGGAGAGTGGCAGTCTCAGTAGCAGGCTCCTGGCCTCAGAGATCCTTAGTATGGTGGAAAGAAAACAAGCGGGGCTCTCTTACTGACCCCTGCGTTAGGGACAAAGTTTCTTCCATCTGTGATACATAGAGTGACTGTCTACAGTAGCCATTTAGGTATTCTGCAAAAGAGATAGAAGGCAGGAATTTCTATTTAGACACAAACTTTGAGATCCAGTAACCCACGCTCCCTTATAAGGTAGAAATCTATTTTTATTCATTTGATACTTTAAAAAAAAAGTGGCATGCCTACTAGGTAGTGGGCACTCTGCCCAGCTGTATGCTCTGTGCTGACTAGAGGTATCTTCGCCCCTGGAAGAGTAGTGAGTAGAAGGGATGGAACCTCGGGGAAGGCAGTGCCGAGTCGCCTTGACAATTCCCACGCCTCATGAGGAGTGTGTCTCAGCTAGAAGCTTGCTCTATTTTAAAACAGCCATGACTATCTGATAGAAAGTCTCTCCCTTGGCCGAAGCCAAATGGAGAGACAAAAATAGTTGTAGCTAGCTTGTCAACAAATGGGCTGCAGGCATCCAGAATGTGGGCAACTTCATGCTGCTCAGGACAGTCAAGGAAGGCTTCGAAAACGCAAGTGCCACCTCTGAGATGGCACTGGAGGGATAGGTGAAGTTCCATGGGGGAAGGAGGAGGAGAATGTCCAAACGGAAGCAACACACAAAGGTGCAGGTGGGGCAAGAATCTAACACGTGTAGGGAGAACTGAAAGGCTTGGTGTAACAATTTCAGGGCTCTGGGAAGTGGGAGAGAGTGGTGGAGATCGTCTAATTCAAGGCCAGGAGGGAAGAGTCTAAAGCTTCTAAAATGTGCTTCCTTAGGTGCTGGAGTCCATGTCAGAGTCACCTGGAGGACTTGTTAAGACCCATCCTGATGACTTGGGCCCCATCCCTGA